CCCCAGCCGCTCCGCGGACCCCGCGCAGCCCCGCAGAGACGCGCTTGTCGCCCGCACGGCGCCGGCACCTGGGCGTCCCCGCCGTGGGCGCACCAGGAGCCCGCACAGCCGCCGCGGTCACGGACCCAGCCGCCGGCCCAGCCTGCACCCCGCTCTGTCCGTCAGAGCTGCCCCACCCCTACGGCGCCCGCGAGAGCCTGGGGGATTCTCCGGGGAAGCCCTCTGGGAGGGGCGGGTGGGGGTGGGGGCGCCCAGTGGAGCAGGCGTGCCCCTCCTCCCCCAGGTCCCCAGGCTCTCGTTACCTGCAGGCGGTACAGGCCGCACCTGGGGCTCCACAGTCCCCCACCCCACCCCCACCCCCACCCCCACCCATCTTCTGTCTGGGCAGAGGGGACTCCTGGAGTCTGCCCAGCCTGGGGAGCTGGGGTGTGTGTGTGTGTGTGTGTGTGTGTGTGTGTGTGTGTGTCTGTGCAGTCTTCTGGCTCCACATCCCAGAGGCTCACAGAGGACCCGTGTCCGCATACCCAGAGACTGGAGGTCCCACCCACAGAGCGAGATGCAACATGGAGGCACACAGCCATTCCCCTAGTGTTTATGGACTGGGCTGTGTGAATGTGCCCTGGTCTCTGCAGGCTCTGTGCACCCAGGCCGTAACGAAGGGCCCTGTCCTTGAGGAGGAAAGGACACTGACCCAAAGTAGAGTCCTGGTGGTGGAGAGCCGAGATGGGGGCATAAAAGGGGCTTCTGGTCTTGATGCGTGGACAAACTTTGGGGTAGGCAGATGGGAGCAGCCAGTGCAGGGAACAAGGGTGAGCTGGGTCTCAGGCTGGGGACAGCTAGATCCAAGAGACGTGAGTGGAGCACGTGGAGGAGACAGAACACTGGCCTGAGTCCCCCTTCTTCCCTTATGCCTTTCTGCCCCACACCCCATTTCTGAAAATACCCAGGGATCAGACCCACCTTTGCCCAAAACAAGAGGGAGTGTCCCTGGCACCCTGGCTTCACAAACAGGCCTGCCCATGCTTGGCTCCTTTGTTGCCGAAGCCCCCGTACCCCCACCAGAGCCCAGGTGGGGGACCATGTGACAATTTCCCCACCTGCACCCCCAAAATTTACACAGAGGAGGACCATGGATGCTAGGGGCACTTGGGCTTGGGTGGGGACTGTCCCCTCTGGAGCTCCATCTGTCCACAATCTTCCCAAGGCAGGATTCCCCCAGCTGGGGCCCAGGCCATTCTAGGGCCCCACCCCTGCTGCCCTTTCCCTGTGGCAGGGGTAGTTGGTTAGGGAAACCACTTGTCCCCAGGTGCACAGCTATGGCCTCTGGTGGCCTTCAGCTTCTGTGGATGCCCACTCATCCAGAGAGGACGGGCAGGCCAGGCACCAGCCTGACCCCACCTGTGTGGGTGGGGATGGTTGGGAGAAGGTCACTGGGATCTGAGGGAGATCCCTGGCGGAGGCAGGACTCCCCAACCCATCCTGGACCTGGCCTTGCTAGCAGTGGACATAAATCGGTCTGAGGCTGCAGGACAAAGGCCAACCCCCCCATCCTGCTCTGTCCCCAGCATCCCTGAGGCAGGAGGGGAGGACAGAGACTCTATCTCCAAAAAGCAGAGATAGACCTGGTTGGACTTTTTTTTTTAAGTTTATTTGTTTTGAGAGAGAGAGAGAGAGAGAGAGAGCAGACGCGCTCAGGTGGGGGAGGGTCAGAGACAGAGGGAGAGAGAAAATCCCAAGCAGGCTCCATGCTGTCAGTGCAGAGCCCCACATGGGGCTCGATCCCACAAACTGTGAGATCATGACCTGGGCTGAAACCAAGAGTCGGACCTTGACCACCCGGGCCTCAACCAGCCAGGCGCCCCTTGTTTGAATTTCTTATAAATGTCCAGCAAAGGGGTTCTGAGGTGTAGTGGCCAAGCTGCTGGCTGGCGTAGGGGGAGGAAGGGCCAGGACAGGGCCCTGAGCCTAGAGGCTGCAAGGGAACCACGAGTGGGGCGGGCGTGTTGAGATCCCCCCTCCCCAGTAAAGGTCCTCTCCCACAGTCTCAGATATCCTGTATCTGTGGAGTCTCTCTGCCTGTTCCCCAACTGGTCCTGCCCAGGCCTCTGTGCAGCTGGGGGGAGAGTGAGCCTCCTGCCACCTCTCCCCCCCACCCAGCACACCTGCAACAGCCAACGTGAGGCACCAACGTGGTGTGACGCATGGTGTCACGATCACAGAAACCCACTCCTAGGACAGTCAAGCCCTTTGCCCTGACCTCACAGCCCCCCTCCACCACTGGGGCTGCCGCATCCTGAGGAGGTCACACGTGGGCTGGTTGGGGGAGGGGGGGTAGGGATTACAAGAGACCTTGAACTGCTGTACCCATCCACCCCACAAGGACCCTCTCCTGGAGACCCTCCTCTCCCTGAGCCCCCCACCCTGTCCCAGCTGAGCCCGGAGTCCCTCATTGACCTCCGCACCATGGCCCCAGGGCGGGCATCTCCACGGCCCACCTCGCGGCCCCTCCCGCAGGCGCAGGCCTCAGTTTCTCCCGTCGTAGGGGGAGATTCCTCCAGACTTCAGACCCCAGACCCCGTGTGCCCTGAGGGCTGACACTGCCGGGGCAACCCCCCCCCCTCCCCCGCAACCACTCCGGGGGTTGCGCAGGGCGGGTCTTCCGGGGCGTGGGGGCGGATCTCGTGGGGGAGGGGCGTGTCTTGCGAGGACGTGAGGGCGGGTCTTGCGGGGCGTGGGCGGAGAGGGGCGTGAGGCGGGTCTCGCGGAGCGTGGGGGCGGGGAGGGGTGGGGCGTGCGGACGGCGGGGCGGGGGGAGGGGGGCGGCTCCCGCCCCCACCGGCCATCTGGCCTTCCCGCCGCCATGGCCGGCGTTCGCGCCGGTGCGCAGATGCCGCATCTGAGCAAGGTGGGTGCCGGTTGGGGGTCCCGCCATACCCTCGATTTCCCGGCATCCGAGGCCGGGAGCCGAAGAGGGGTGGGCGTGGGTGCGCGCGAGTGTGGCCGCGGGTTTGGGGGCGACAGCGCTTTGTGAGGCGAGGCGGGGCGAGGCGGCGGAGACCTGGGCTGCGGGGGCGGGAGTCGCCTCTAGCCTCCGCCCCCGCCCCCACTCCTCCGCCGCCCGCCGCGGCCTCAGATGCCACCGTCGTGCGTGCGTGTTAATCTTCTCTGAGCGCACTGGTCCCGGGCCCTCGGCCCTTTCCGGGGAATCGGGGTCTGGGGCGGGGCGGGGGAGGCGGGCCGGAACAGTCCCTCAAGGCCCCCCTTCGCCCAGATGGAGCGGGTGGTCGTGAGTATGCAGGACCCCGACCAGGGCGTGAAGATGCGGAGCCAGCGCCTGCTCATCACCGTCATTCCGCACTTGGTGGCTGGTGAGGCGCCGCGGGGGCTGGGGTGGATGGAGGCCCTGCCCGAGCCTACCCCCACCCCATGCCAATCTCTGCTGTGCAGGCAGCGACCTCGTGGAGTGGTTGATCCAGAAGTACTGCATCTCAGAGGAGGGTAAGGGGGTCAGCCCCTTGCTCATCCGGTGCCCCACCCCTGCCGCGCCTCCTGTCCCCTGCCCCCTGCCCTGGGGTCGCTGTGCTGATGGCCTAGGCTGGGCTCACAGGTGTCAGGGCCAAGCCAAGTGTGCTGGGGAGGGAGATCCCCGGGACTGGTTCTCCCAGGCTGAGCACTCACCACCCTGCCGCCCGCAGAGGCCCTGCACCTGGGCACTCTCCTGGTGCAGCACGGCTACCTGTACCCGCTGCGAGACCCCCGCTGTCTTGTGCTCCGGCCAGACGACACACCCTACAGATTTCAGGTCAGGTGCAACTGAGAGCAGGTGGAAAGCACAAACCCAGCAGCCCAGCTAGAGGGGACCTGTGGAAGGGGTTGGAGTAGGGCGCGGTGATGTCACCACAGGTCTGGGTCCACTGCCCCTCCCCCAGGCCCTTGGGGAGTGGTCCACTGCCCCAACCGACACATGCCCTGTGATAGGAGGACCAGGATAAGGGGAGAGACCCTCAGTTTCTCTGAGGCCGCAGCAGGGGACCCATAAAGGGTATAGCACCTGTGGAGGATTCTGATGGTTTCCCTGAGAATCCTTAAACCCCCACCCAGGAAGAAGTCTGTGTGGGGCCTGAGGACAGGATTCTAGCATCTCAGTGCGTAACCTCAATCACGACGGACCTGTCCTGCCTGGCCTCCCTGGCAGTCCCCACACATAGTCTTTAGTCCAGACTTGAGCAGGCCCCACCCTCACCCCCCACCAGGCGGTAGGGACTCAGGGAGCCCAGTCCAGGAGGCAGTGCTTGCAGGGGGCCCCAAGGGGTGAGTGGAGCTTGGTTCCAGGTGGGGAAGATGGCCAGTGGTGTGTGAGTCTCCAGGCTGTGGGCAGACAGGCAGATTCTGAGGCCGCCCAGTCTCTTCCCAAGGGGCCTGGGGAGGGGGACAACTCCTGGGGTGGGGAAGGTCCAGCAGGTCCCAGAAACGCTGTCCTTGCACCATACCAGACGCCCTATTTCTGGACGAGCACGCTGTGGCCAGCTACTGAGCTGGACTATGGTGAGTGAGGAGGAGCAAGCTAACCTGGGACAGCTTCCTGCCCTCTGAAGTGATGTCGCAAGGGACGAGGGGCAGAGATTTCTCCTCTGCAGCCTGGTCCCCTGTCCTTTCAGCCATCTACCTGGCGAAGAAGAACATCCGAAAGCAGGGGGCCCTGGTCGGCCACGAGAAGGTGGGACGCTCCCCTAGGCTGAGGCCAGCCAGAGGAACCCAAGCCCTGCTCTTGACCCCGGGGCCTCAGTTTGCCCTGGAGCACACACACGGCCCAGGCCCCGGGATGGTGCAGACACAAACACGGGATCCCTATATGTCTCAGTGGGGACGTGGGTGGTTCCTAACCCAGAGCTGGACAGGAGAGGGGTTGCCCAGGGTAGACCTCAACACCCTCCAGGAACACTATGGCCAGCTGCACAGGAAGATCAACCACGCATGGGACCTGGTGGTGATGCAAGCGAGAGAGCAGCTTCGGTGAGACCCTGCCCCACCCATGACTTGCGGGCATCGAGTGGGAGTTGCCCGGGAGGCCCAGCTGTACCAAGCCCTGGCTGTTTCCCCAGGCTCTGGCCTGAGGGTGGGGACAGGGCAGAAGAGGTGCTGTTGTGGGCACCCTGTCCCCCAGCTCCACCTACCCTCCCTCCAGGGCAGCTAAGCAGCGCAGGAAGGGGGACAGGCTGGTCATGGCGTGCCAGGAGCAGACGTACTGGCTGGTGAATAGGCCTCCGGTAATACCCTTGTGTGTGTGTGTGGGGGGGGGGCAGTTCCTTGTATAGCAGCGGGATCTTGCCAGAAGGCAGTGTGTTTCTCTCAAATGCTCGCTCTGAACCTGCATTTTGAGCCTGTGATAAGGATGTGGCTTTCGGGATCCCAGCAGTAAGTTCTATTTCTGGGGCCCATGAGAACTGAGGCCCGGGCCTGCGTCCGCCTCCCATCCACACAGCCCAGGACAAACCGGCCTCTTTCTGGGTCTAAAGGAGGAGGCAGAGTGGAGTCAGGCTTAGTTATAGCTCTGAGGAACTGAGGTCACAGACCAAGAATTTTGGGGAGTGCTGGCCTGTAGCTAGGCTGTGCCCAGAACCGCGGTCTGAGCAGGCGGTGTGCTAGTCCTCTGCTGTGGAGAGATGAGGCTGACCGGCTATCTTGGTCTGTGGGGGCGGTCAGAGCCAGCGTGAATGCAAGTTCTTGTGGGAAAAATCCATGGAAAAGAAAAATGAGAGAGATCCACGGGCCTCTAACTCATCAAGTGTGTGTCTGGGCGGGGGGCGTGTCTCTGGGAAATGACTCCTCCTCTTCCACCTGAGCGCCAGGTGGGCAGGATAGGGAGGTGGAAAGACAGAGCAGACGTGGCCCCGAGGCTGTGCACACGGGCTGAGGGCAGGGCAGCGGGGGCCTCCAGGCGAACAGGCACGAGGGCTCTGCCTGGTCCGAGGTGAGGAAGAGACCAGACGTGCAGATGCATTTGAGGACAGGGCAGCAAGATGTGGGGCGGGTGAGCACCTCGAGAAGGATGGTTAGGAGGGGCCTCCTGGCCAGCTATGTTTGTGGAGCACATGACGCTTGATCTTGGGGTAGTGAGTTCGAGCCCCATTAGGCACAGAGCCTACTTAAAAAAAAAAAAAAAGGATTCTCAGGTTTGTGGTTTGAGTAGTCAGGAGCGGGGAGGTGAGCTCAGCTGAGGTGAGGTAATCATGGGGGTGAGGATGGGTAGAGAGCAGGCTTAGGGACTGGAGACTCAGGTTCTTAATTTTCTCTGAATGACAGTTTCTAATGTTTTGGTTTTTTTTTTATTTATTTAAGAGAGAGAGAGAGAGAGAGAGAGAGAGACGGGGCACAAGTGGGGGAGGGGCAGGGAGAAGGAGACAGACACAGAATCTGAAGCAGGCTCCAGAGCCTGACGCAGGGCTCGAACTCACGAACAGTAAGATCGTGACCTCCGCTGAAGTCAGACGCTTCACCAACGGTCCCCTGTAGTTTCCACTGAAGGAGGACGTGTGGGTGCAGGGCTTCCGTATATGAAGCTGGTGGGGGGCAGGAACACAAGACTAGGATGGGTCTCACCAGCCCACTTGGGCTGCACCCCTCACCTCATCTCAGCCTCCCCTCTGCAGCCAGGGGTCCCCAGCGTCCTGGAGCAGGGTCCAGAGCGCAGTTCCTGCACTGCCGGGCAAGCGCAGATGGTGAGGACCCCACACCATACCCCCAGACCACTCCCCACCCTGCACACATACCTCCCCCACCCCAACTTGGGGGCTGCTCACCCATCCATCCGTTTTTTCAAATGGCACTTGACCCTGCCGTCATGCCCCACTGCCTGTACCCCCTCTCCCAGGCCTCTGCTAACTCTCACCTCTTGCCTCCCACCTGCTGCACTGGGTGCAAGTAAGTGCGATGGGGCCCTGGGAAGAGTGGGAGCTCCTCCCCAGGCCGGGACAGCATCAGAACCCGGGGGAGTTGGAGGTGTGCCCTCGGTGGGGCCGCAGGCCTGAGGGGTCTGGGCCGAGCCAGCCAACACCCTGCATGGACTCCAGTGGCCTCTGGAACCAGAGGGAACTGAGCCAGGACAGACGTGGCCACACTTGGTGGCAGCCGAGCCCTCTGTTTCAGTTCCACAAAATGCAAAATATCCCATATCTAGTACCTTACAGATAAAACTTTTTCCTGACTTCAAAGTCCTAGTTCAAGATTGCGGGTTTGTAATTTTCTTGTTATAAAGTCAGCCGAAGAGAGCCGAGGCGAAAATTGAAGATCTCGGGCATCCTGAGGGTTTGCAGGTGTTGGGAAGGGTCAGTCCATCCACCTGGCCCGGAAGATGTGGCAGGCAGGTTCTGAGCTCTGAACAGGCTGAGATCACCCTGGAGCATAAGTTAGCGAGACTGACTTCCTGAGTGGGATTCTGTTGCAGTATTTCTCGTGTATCTGCTGTTAAAAAAAAAAAAAAAAAAAGACCTAAGTACATTCGAAAATATGAAATAGTGACAGTTGGGGAACTGCAAGGTAACTTTGGAAACCTGAGGGCTCCATGGAACATTCTGGAAACCTTTAGAGGCCCTCAGAAGCTTCTTGGAAAGCCAGACCCCTCCATTGAGGAGGGGGCTTCAAGGGGCAAGGCAGGGGGCCTGAGCCATTCTCTATCAGCCCAGGGATGGACTCTTGAACTACGGTGGGTTTTCAGTCCCCACAGGGCCTGCCTTCTAATTGCAGCCCGCCCGGCCCTTTCCAGACCAAGAATATAGATTTCTACAAGCGAGAGGTAGGTCCTAGGAGCGGGTGGGAGAGAGGGGCCTGGGCTGGCGGACCCCCAGGCCAGGCCCCACTTCATAGGCCTCACGTCCTAGATGGAGCTGTGCAGAAAAGCCCTGGGCAGGGCCCGGGTGAAGTCCTCGGTCTGCCTTGAGGCGTGAGTGGGCTGAAGGGCACCGGCTGGGGACCCCCGCCCAGAGCCCAGGCCCTTCCTCGAGTGCCGTTGTCCCCACAGCCTGTCCCTGCACTGGCCCCTGGCACCGTCCCCCCACTCCCCAGGTACCTGAAGTTCAGCAGCCAACGTGAGCTGCATGATCCCATCATGTCAGGGTGCCTGCCTGGCAACCCCTGGGTCACAGATGATGACACCTACTGGACCATGAACGCACCCAGGTAAGCCCAGGGGGGGCAGGGAGCGCTGCCCCCCCCCTCCCTTCCCCCTGGGGCACTCCCCCCCCCCCCCCCCCTGTGGCCGGCACATCCCGGGGCCCTGTCCCTCCAGCGTGGCTGTGCCCACGAAGCTCCGCGTGGAGCGATGGGGCTTCAGCTTCCAGGAGCTCTTGGAAGACCCTGTGGGACGGGCGCATTTCATGGCCTTTCTCGGGACAGAGTTCAGCGGTGAGAAGCCCCCTGCCTTGCTCGAGGCCCCTGTGAGGGATGCTGCTGCCTAGGACCGTCCCCCGCACCCCCTCCCCCCCCCGCCCCACCCCTGCCACGTTTCTGCCCGCATGGCCAAGGTTCAGGTTGGCCTGACCTGGCGTGTGGACCCCTAGCTGAGAACCTGAGCTTCTGGGAGGCATGCGAGGAGCTGCGCCACGGAGGGCAGGCCCAGGTCCGCGCCATGGTGGACGCCGTGTACCAGTGAGTGCCGAGGGGCAGGTGCCGGCTGGCCGCTAGGCCTGCGTGCGGAACCCGGACCCACAGGGCCTGTCTCCCGTCCTCCTTCTGCCGACACAGGCAGTTCCTGGCCCCTGGCGCTGCCCGGTGGGTCAACATCGACAGCCGGACGATGGAGCGGACCCTGGAGGGTCTGCACCAGCCCCACCGCTACGTGCTGGATGACGCCCAGCTGCACATCTACATGCTGATGAAGAAGGTGAGTGTGCAGGCCGGGAGGGCTCGGGGAGTGCCTGGCCCCGTGACAGCTGGGTCTGCACACCCACTTCTCACCGGCTGCTGGCATGCTTAGACCTGCGACCCAGGCTCCACTTTCACAGAGGGGCAAACTGAGGCTCAGAAGGGCTGAGGGCTTGCCCAAGCCACAGGCCTAAGGAGAGGTCCAGTCGTGATTTTAGAAAGGGTTTTAATATGGGGCGCCTGGGTGGCTCAGTTGGATGGGCATCCGACTCTTGATTTCGACTCAGGTCCTGCTCCCAGGGTCATGGGATCAAGCCCCGTGTCAGGCTCTGTGCTGGGCATGGAGCCTGCTTGAGATTCTCTCTGTTTCTCTCTCGCTCTCTGCCCCTCCCCCACTCATGCTCATGCTCTCTTCCTCAAAAGAAAAGTATTTTAACATGGAAAATCTGAAACGTGAACAAAAACATAGTAAAATGACCCCCACATACCTACTGCCTGGCTTCAAAAACAGCTCAGGGCCTATCCTGATTCATTGTCTATCCCTGCCCCCCACCCCGTGACTTTAAAGCCATTTCCAGACTCCCTATCTGTAGACACTTCAGGATCCTCTAAAAGACATGGACCCCCTCCCTCCCTTTTCAACGTGACCCCAGATGTCAGTATCACATACTGAACACAGGATCACTCAGTGTCCTCAAAGAGCCAGTCGGGGTCAAAACTTCCTCACTTGGCATCTGTGTTTAGTTCCCTGTTGTTGCTGTAAAAAAACACCACAAACTTGGCTTAAAGCAACACGAATTTATTCTCTTAAAGTTTTGGAGGTCAGAAGTCTGACACAGGTCTCCTGGGGTAAAGTCAAGGTGTGGGTGGCACTGGTTCCTTCTGGAATCTCCAGGGGAATCTCATGTCCTGCCTTTTCTAGCTTCTGCAGACGCCTGCCTTCCTTGGCACCTCCTCCTCCTGCGTCTTTATGCCGGTAGTCTAACATCTCTGACCTGTGTCTCTGGTCCTCCTGCAGCCCCCTCTTTGACTTATAAGGGCCTGTGGTGACACTGAGCCCACCTGGACAATTGAGGACATCTCCCCACCTCAAGATCGTTCACTTAACTCACATCTGCAAAATCCCTTTGCCTTATAAGAGACACCATCACAGTACCAGAGGTTAGGGTATGGACATCTCTGGCATCTTCCCCTCTGAATGCCACAGCCAAAAACTTATCTGTTTTTTCAATTTCCTTGAATTTGGGTCCAAACGAAGTCCATGTGTCAGAACGGGTTAATAAATCTCTTAAACCCCCTTTTATTTATTTATTTTTATTGTTTAAGTTTTTTTATCTTGAGAGCGCGTGAACAGGGGAGAAGCAGAGAGAGAGAGAGAGAGAGAGAGAGAGAATCCCAAGCAATCTCCACACTCAGTGCAGAGACCACCTCGGGGCTTGAACCCCGCGAGATTGTGACCTGAGACAAAATCAAGAGTCGGATGCTCAACTGACTGAGCCACCCAGGTGCCCCTTAAACCTCTTTTTAAAGCAGAGGCTTCTTCTCTACCTTTTCTTCTTTTTTTGTTTTGTTTTAAAGAAACTGGAGGTCCTTTGTCCTGTGATTTCCCACAGTCTGGGTTTTACTAATGGCGCCCTCGTGGTGTCCTTGTGTGTTTCTGCAGATTGGTAGTTACGTTTAAGACTTGATCGGATTCATCTTCAGTTTTTTCGTGTATTTGGTTTTGCCAAGGGTCTTTACTTCAGAGATGGTGTTCGGTGTGTTCTCCCATCGGGAGGTACGTGGGGCCCGGGCGCCTCTCCTTTTGTGACGGGAGCAGCCTGTGGCTTCGGTGCAGGCAAGGAGCTGGCCCGTCCCTGCCTCTGTTTAAGAGGGGGGACACTGCTCTGAGACACCTCTTCTCGCCTGCTCTTTGTGGCACAGTCGTCCAGGGAAGGCAGGATCAGTGCTTGACCCCTTCTTTTAGTCACCAGTTTTCACAATAATGCATCGTACCCACGGTGTCTGCCAAGGGTGGTAAGTCTGAGATAGTTTTAACCCCGATGTAAATCCACACTCTCACCAGATGACGGGTTTCGTTCCGCTCTGGTTCTTACCCTTAATTCCCGTGCAGAGGTCCAGCCTGCCAGCTGTTGGCTCCTGGGGCATTTGATGTGTTCTGAAATCCGTGCTGGCTTTCTTGCCTTCTGGTGTGGTGGCTTGTCCCCGGCTCCGCCTGTGCCAGAACTGGAGTCAGCCGTTTCCATGGGAAGCCCTGGCTCTTTTTCAAGGGTGTTTAGAAACCTTGACACGCACGCTGATGTGTCCACTGTAACCTGAACTGTTTCGGGCCCTTTCAGTGAACAGAAGTAGGAGTATCAGTGTTTTAAACAGGATACATCAGGAGCTCGTACTGATGCTTCCTTTTTTTATTATTAATTTTTAGTTTATTTGGGGGAGAGAGACGCAGTACGAGTGGGGGAAGGGCAGGGAGCACGAGAGAGGGAGACACAGAATCTGAAGCAGGCTCCAGGCTCTGAGCTGTCAGCACAGCATCTGATGTGGGGCTCAAACTTACGAACTGTGAGATCATGACCTGAGCCTGAGTCGGACGCTTAACCAACTGAGCCATCCAGGCACCTCTACTTTTTTTTTTTTTTAAGGTGCATTTATTTATTTTTGACAGAGAGAGCGCGTGCCCATGTGCGTGTGGGGGGAGGGGCAGAGAGACTCCCAAGCAGGCTCCATGCTGTTAGCATGGAGCCTGACTTGGGCTCGAACTCACGAACCATGAGATCATGACCTGAACAGAGATCAAGAGTTAGATACCCCGCCTACTGATCCGCCCAGGTGCCTCGTGACACTGCTAATTCAGGTTCAGGATTAGAGAATTTCCTTAACGTTGTTGACTTTCATCTCTTTCCTCACTAACCCACTGAAAATCTTGGTTCTCGACGATGCTAACATAATGACTCACTTGCTTTTTTCTCACATTTCACTCAGGAGTCTCAACAACACAGCATTACCATTTACCATACAGTCACTGAAAATGGTTTACTTTTTCCTCGGCTTGGTCCTCTGCACATACCCTCCTGGGGACGCCCCCTCCAGCAGCTATATTCCGTGTGGCCAGGGTGGTGTCACCGACTGGGTGCCTGGCTCACTTGTCCCACTTGACTTCCAGTGTTTGGGAATTGACTATTTGTTGTTTTATTTTATAATTATGTAAAGTGTCTACACAGTTTCAAAATCCTGGGGCGCCTGGGTGGCTCAGTCGGTTAGGCGTCCGACTTCGGCTCAGGTCACCATCTCGCGGTCCGTGAGTTCGAGCCCCGCGTCAGGGTCTGGGCTGACGGCTCAGAGCCTGGAGCCTGCTTCCGATTCTGTGTCTCCCTCTCTCTCTGCCCCTCCCTCGTTCATGCTCTGTCTCTCTCTGTCTCAAAAATAAATAAAAAACATTAAAAAAATTAAAAAAACCACAAAATCCAATCAGCAAAGAAGGTACATTCAAGTAAATGTGGTTCTGTCCTGATCCTTCTGCTGTCTTCCCTTCTTCCCACTAAAATTAACTATTTGAAATTTATTTTTTTCTTTTAAATATAATAAGCAGTTGGGTTCACAGATTTCTCTCCCTCTTTATTGTATACTATGCAGTTTTACAGTTTTTCTCGACCTTGCTTTTTATTTTGCTCTGTGTTCTCCCCCTCACTCTCGGGGTACACAGAGAACCGGAGGGGGGGTACCACGGTTCACTCCTAGCATGGGCACCCGGCCCCTGCCCAGCTTTTGTGGGTAAACTGGATAGGAGCCTAGGTCTCCCCAAGTCCGTCTGACTTGTTCTGGGGAGGTCTGGGGTGGTCGCCTCCAGCACTGTCCGCTGGGGCGGGGTGGGGGGGCCCTGGGGCTGGCGGAGGCCCCGGCAGTGGCAGGCTGGACCGGCAGGGGAAGCCGTCTGGGCGCGGTCTCTTGCAGGACTCCTACCCGAGGTTCCTGAAGTCTGCTGCCTACAAAGACCTGCTGGCCGAAGCCGTGATTCCCCCAGAGGCCAAGAAACGGTGAGCTTGTCCGTGCCCAGAGCAGTGCAGACCCGCAGTGAGGCGGGCAGGACCTCACGGCTGCCCCGTGCTCCGGTCCCGTCTTGCCCACAGGGTGTTCCCGTTCATGCGGAAGCTGCCGCATTCAAGCCCCAGCCCCGCGCTGCTTCCTGCCGCCACCTCTGGGGAGCCTGCGGCTGCCGCCGGTGGCCCTGAGTGTGGTGAGGGGGGCGCCTAAGTGGGCAGAAGCGCCACCCTCACCTCTTGCCCAGGGTCCTGGCCACTTTTGAGAGCCCTGGCACGGGCGTCCCCTCGTGCCCAGAGGCCCCGGCCTTGCTGTGGGGCAAACAGACCTCTTGGGCTCCCTCCCACCTTTGCCCTTGTCAAGCCCTCTCGACGCCTCCCCACCTCCAGAACCACAAACTGCTGGCAGATACCAGGTGGGCCTCCGGCAGGTGGCACTTGTCATAGGGGGAGATGCAGGCCGCCGGGTGGATTTCCCCGGGGCGCTCCGCCCAGTGTGACCCTGTGGGGACCCCACACCACGTCCCCGCTTCTGCTGGGGGCGCCTCAGCCTTCCAGTCAGCCTAGAGCCATCCTCCGGCGTCTCGTCTACACTGTGGCCGCCACTGTGCACGTCCCAGGCCTCATGCCCCAGGGGCGCCTCTGGCCGGTGTCCTGGAGGCTGTGGCTTCTCCAGCAGAGTTGCACAGGGACGGCCCCAACGGCCCCACCCTGGTGACAACTGGTGCCAGTTCCCCGCAGGGGCGGGTGGAGCCCTTGGGGGAGGAGGGGGACGCCAGACCCGGGGCGGAGGACAGTTGGTCCTCTGGGAGCGCAGCTCTGTGGGGCCAGAGGGAGCGGCGCCCCCCTTCCTGCTCCCACCCACGCCCGACGCTGAAATAAAAGACCCGCAGCTCTCACTCTGAGCCCACTTTATTGTCCAAATCGTGGAGCGTGTGCTGTGAGGCCCACTGGTGGGGCGTGTCCGTGGGGCGTGTCGGTGGGGTGTGTGCCTGAGGCGTGACCGTGAGGCGTGCCGGTGGGGCGTGTCGGAGAGGCGTACCCGGTGAGGCGTGTGCGTGGGGCGTGT